CTGGCAATAAATCTGATTCTGATGCTGATGCTCTTAAAATAAGGAAAATAATCAAATTCCTCTGCTGGGATATTATGCAAGCCATTGTTGCAACTTGTTACTGGTTAAAACGAGCTCAGTATTAGCTGTGATATCTTATTAAGACAAAGTTAGATATAATTTAAAACCAGATTACTTTTCAAATGTTTCTTTTTAGACAAACAAGAAACAAGAAACAAGGCTTTTTGACTTCTTTTAGATTCCTTATTTGAATATATTTGTGCATCCTTTTGTATGGCTGTAGCTTAGGAGGTAGAGCGGGTTGTCCACTAATCAGAATGTTGGTGATTCAAACCCTGGTTCCTTCTTCTGCATGCTGAAGCGCATTTGAGTAAGATACTGAACACCAAATTATTCCCGATGCTGTGTCATCAGTGTATGAATGTGACATATAGTGTAAAGCACTTAAATGGTCAGGAGACTAGTAAGGTGCTTTATAAATGCAGTCCATTTACATGTATTTGTTGAAATATTTAAAAAACAAATACATAAAAAAACAAACAAAGGTGATATCATCCAGCTTCATCAAATTACAGCTGATCATGAAAAGACATCTCTTCTTTCTCATACAGTAAAGACTGGACGCCTTTGTAGACGAGCTGGCAAATCAGCTTTTCACTTTCACTGGGTGAAATATACCACCTTTATTCATGACTGAGGAAAGCAATGTAATGAATGACTCACAGTCTGGTTCTGAGCATTCACAGATGAATTAATTTGCATTTAATGGCCAAATGGTTTGTATATAATAATTCTGTCTGTAAGTCAAAAAACAGCATTCCTCTGTATTGTGTTGACTGCTAATCCAGACAACTCTGGAAAAGAAGGCTTGTACATGACAAGACTCAAGAATTAAAGGCTAAATGCTTTAAATTGCCAAAAGAGAGTGTTGATGGCAACATTGAGATGTAGTAAAGCATTCCAGTAATCATTCAAAGAGATGAGAATAGGCAATGTATGGGACCGTTATTGTAGCAAATTATTTACAAATAGAGAGTTGTGTAACTGTATTTCAATCCATGTGTGCGTAATCAGATTTATAAATGTGTACTGAGATCTGTGAATGTGTACAGGATTCTGAAAATGTGTGTTCGGAATCTTTGTGTTGGTAATCAGATTTGTAAATGTGTAAACAATCTGTTTTCAGATTTGCAAATGTAATGGGATTTGTAAATATGTAGACAAAGCTTCTCAATTGGCTCTTTTGACATGTGACTTTTGCAGTTACATAACTCTCCACTAACATTTTTAAATAGTTTGAGACAGGTCCAGTGAAAAGACAGTGCTGTTTGTGTTAAGGTGGTTGCAGTGTTTGGCAGTAAGGCATTACTATTAATAATATTACTAAATGTTACCAAAAAAATAAATACTGGATTTTTTATTTATTTATTTATTTATTTATTTATTTATGTAATTATTTACAAGATTAGATGATGTGAAACTATATAAAAGTTTTTTTATTTTTTATTTTTTTATTTTGTCACTTCACTCTTTACGTTATCACTCCTCTTTTCATTCTCTGATTAGTGATAGCATTTATTGATTAGACTGGATTCGCTTTAGGTGTGAGTATTACACACCACAAATTCCCATTTAAACTGTATAATTTTTAGTCTTAAATATAGTGATGAACACTTCTATTTATTCAGGTCATAAATTCCAGCCCACGCGTTCTAGTCTCCGTCCAGCAGACGGCAGTACTGCCGTTCAAGTTGCTCAGCGACCGCCATTAAAGATACTGAAGAGCACAAGACCAATAAGGATCCTCGTAGTGAGGTCATGTGAGCTGAAAATATGGCCGTTTAGCGACAGGGAACTGCCGAATGACAACAATGCCGTTTATTGTAGTATAACATAACTTTAAAGTCGGGAATTAGTCGAAATTTTATATTCATCTTCACGGTAAAGTCTTCCTTTTATATGATTACGCTAATAAGATTATTTCAGGATCTTTACCCTCTTGGCTTTATTGTGAGTGACTGTCATGAATGTAACACATCATTTCAGAATAAGCTGTTGCTACAGTCAAATAAAGTTATATGCTGAATATACCTATTCCGAATTTATGGGTGGAGTCACAAAATACATATGCCGTAGTCACTTGTTATTAGATCACTAACCAAAGCAATAATAATCACTACATTTTTAAAGGGGATATGGTGCAACGTTCTGCTTTCGTGGGTGTAAAGGATGTTATCAGGAGGACCTAACGTTACTTGTGCAGTTTACAGTGACGGTGCATTCAATGACATTCCTCTTTATTTTGATAGACAATGAAGCTGCGGGTCCAGCTGCAGTGTAAGAACTTACATGAATATCTGAGAGAGCTGAGTCCTGAGATTCTGGACAGACTGTACAACCATCCAGCAACATGTCTGGCTGTCTACAGGTATGATGGCTGAAAGTGGTTCATAATCTGGGGTCCAGGTACCCCCAGGGGTCCTTGTGCCCAGAAAATGGTTAATTTCACTATTTTTCATTGACTGTAAGTTATCCCAATGAGAGAATTTATACAATTAACTATTCTGTTCACAGGATTCACACTCTTCACTGTTAATCTTTCAATCCACAGTACAGACAGCTAGGGAATAACAAAATGTGATCAGGTGGGGATCCCTGAGACTACATCATATCAAATACGGGTCCGTGTATCAATTTGTAAAATTTGCTTCGCTACAGCAGCTATCATTCAAATCAACAAGTTGGAGTAACATTGCCCAGAGTTCTTCCTGTTTTGACCTGCATTTTATTTTATTTGTTCTATTGTTTTTGTTTTTATTTTTATTTTTATTGTTCTCCCTGTGTAAGTCCTGATTTTTAGAGCCTGGAGCACTTTTATCCTTTATCATGTTTGTCTGAGTTGTTTGTTGTCTTTATATTTGTGTCAAGAGGAATGCCTTGTCTTTTACTGCAACCAAATACAGGTACAAATAAAGGAAACTTGTGAATTGCGTTGTGTAATTTGTGTTTGATGTTCTACAGGGAACTGCCCTCTCTGGCCAAGAATTATGTGATGCGTATGCTGTTCCTGGATCAGCCTCTCCCCCAGGCAGCAGTGGCATTATGGGTGAAAAAAGACAGTCAGAAGTGAGTCCCTTGCTTTGTCATGTCACTATTATGCTAGTAAGAGCATTGTAAGTGGGGTGAACTACTTTGATTGCCTGTACCACTGTGTAACATTTCCCTTACTGACCTGCTACTAGGGAGTTTTATTTATGCACATACATTTTGTTTCATCGACATCCATATGATGATATCTAAAGATCTCCGTAATGAATGCAGCCTGGTGCTCTCTTTTGACTGTGGGAGTCACCAGACTACTTTGACCAAATTAATGTAACCGATATTGTAAAATTTTTATTTTATAATGGTACTGACGGATAAACCATATTTACTGGGAACAGGTATGTTTGCTGGTTCAATGTAAAGGTCAGTGTAGAGATGCTTCATCTCATATACCAGATCAGTATCGGTGCTGACACTGACCTTATTATATGGATCAGGTGTCGGCCATAACATGAACCAGGGTTGGCACAGGTTTGGAAAGTGCTTGGATTTACTGAGAAATAAAGAGGTCCTTAATGTGCTTGGATTTAATCTACTGGAATATCTGCGATTTAGCCATGTGCGCCGCATCATCTCAGAATTGACCTATGGTACTTTTTTTTATATACATCTGGAGTGCTGGACAGTTAGTTAGATTGTTACACAGAACCATCTGGAAAGTCGTTGTTGGAAACTGGAAAAGGGCAGGCACTTTTATCTGTCTATCACCATCTATTACGGCCGAACTTCAACTAATCAGATC